TCTTTTATCTTGTCATTTCTTCCATTGGCTTTAGCTACTCTCCACTCAAGGGTAAGTTTCAGAGTCTCTTCTGTCATCCATTTTGGTCTTCCCTTCTTGTCTTTTTAGTGATCTCTTGCTTTCTTCATGGATAATGTTCTTGATATCCTCCCACAATTCTTCTGGATTTTGGTCACTGGTGTTCAATGTATCAAATCTATTCTTTAGATGGTCTGTAAATTCAGGAGGGATATATTCAAGATCATATTTTGGCTCTCTTGGACTTGTTTTAACTGTCTTTAACTTCAAGTTGAACTTGCAGTTGATGGTCTGTTCCACAATCAGCTCTTGGCCTGGTTTTGGCTGAAGATATTGAGCTTTTCCCCTGCCTCTTGCCACAGATGTACTCAATCTGATTCCTGTGTATTCCATCTGGTAAAGTCCATGTGTAGAGCCGCCATTCGTGTTGTTGAAAAAAGGTGTTTGCAATGAACAAGTCATGGGTCTTGCAAAATTCTACCATGCGAGTTCCAGCATTATTTCTGTCACCAAGGCCAAATTTTCCAACCACTGGTAATTCTTCTTTGTTTCCAACTATTGCATATTTTCATATGACTTATTTTTTAACAGGCTTATGTCTCATAAAATACTATTATATTGTTAATTTGATTAACTAACCCCTTCTTCAGAAATAGGTAATTTTGAGCTTATTGTTGTGTGCCGTTAGTCCATTCTGACTCACAGCGCCCCTATACAGAGTAGAACTGCCCATAGTTTCCTAGGCTGAAATCTTTTCCAAAGCAGACCACCAGGTCTTTTCTCCCACAGAGCTGCTAGTGGGTTTGAACCACCAACCTTTGGGTTAGCAGCTGAGCACTTAACCACTGTGCCACCAGAGCTCCTGGCCCTTGTCAAAAAAGCAAAAACAAAGGAAAAATTAATAAAAATTAATAATAATGTTATATATTTGGATACTAATTATTATAATTCATCTTACTTCAGTTTAACTACAATTAAAAGCTAGGCTATGGGCACATGGGGTTCATCGTTTTAGTCTTTGTTTCTGTTTGAAATGTTTTATAACACATTTTTTAAATTAAAAAAAAAGAAAAATGGTTATTAAATGCTTTCATCCGATAAAGTTCTGATTAAAAAAAAAAAGTTATAAACAAATGCATTATGTTCCCCTTACCAATATGAGCTCTGTCAGATATGATAAGCCTTTTTTCCCAGCCTTCTAGACCTAGAGGGAAGAGGGAGAAAAGACATATTGAATTAAACATTTTGTACAGTAACTTTTTAGTCATAATTTCTTTATCAATACAATGTCTAAAAGGTTTTTCATTGAAAGAACAACTTTACTATCTTTTTTTCAACAGAGGAAACATGATATTTACTAAAAATTTTCTCACCTTTAGACTCATAAAAACTATCTTTTTAAGTTTTTTGCTCTAAGGAGCTCCAAACTGCAAGCCAGCAAAATTTACATAAAATATTTCTAGAAATTCAAAAAGTAAATGGTAGTAAAATGCTTTATTTTGCTGGGAGTGAGAGAGAAGGCTAGGCAGAAATTCGATATACAAAGGAGTTAATTTTGAGAATGGCACCCTTTCCCAAAAGGCAATTATAAATAAACAAATAATTATAGTTCACTGTGATACATGGAGTAATAGACTACTTTGGAGGAATTAAGAAGTTTCCTTATTTTGTTTACTCACATAAAAAAGTGTAAGTAAACAAAATAAGGAAACTTCCTCTAATTCTTCCAAATTAGTCTATTATTGCATGTATCACATTGAACTATAATTATTTATTTATTATTAATATGCTTCTCCATATAACTGCAGATGCCTTAGAGCAGAAAGCATGAGTTTTCATAGCACAGAGCTGATCATCAAATAAAGTGTTCCAAAAACGATTGCTGAATGAATAGATACATGAATCCAAAGACAGGACAGAAGGGAATGTGGACAAGACAAAGTTGTTAAAGGAGATGACAGAGAACAGAGGGCAGCATGGGAACCTCAAGTTGACTTATTTCAAACGGAGGGACTAGGACACATGACCAAAAAATGAAGGGAGGACAAAAGAGATAATAATAGCAAGACAGGATTTTGCAAATTTGGAGTTAGTTGCTAGAACACTGGAGGGAATAGATGGCCAATTTTAAACTTAAACAATAAATTTTAACAACAGTAATATAATTAATTTAAATTTGAGCTAAACTAAAGGGAAAGCATATTAATTTTCCTCAACTGTGTATTATTTATATTCTGAAATTCTAGTGAGGTTACTATGTTGAATGTAAAGACATTTCTAAAACCCCAAAAGGTAGGAAACCACAGTTATTTTCTGAAAGGATACATTGCATAAAAGGAGCATGTCCTTTATTTGGAGGGAAGAACCTAAACAAAACCTTTTCACCTCTACATTGTAAAACCAAGGAGAGCTCTAAATCCTCTGAAAACAAGGATGACAGCATGCAAAATGGGCTTCAGAGGTTCCCCCACCTCCCATAAGCCAGTTCCTGGTTTGGGAAATATGTCCAATGAATTACTTAATAAGGTCCCTTCTAGCCATAGTCTTTGTTACTCTCACCAAATGACTGAGTGGGACTATGTAAATGTCAGATGCTTGTGGACCACCAACAGGACTGGATAGCTTGCTAATAATGCAAATAAGGTACATGGCACCCAAATGGGAGTGGGACCATGAAAACAAAGTGAATAGAACACTAGTGTGGGGATTGGTCAGTTTTGCCATCCCACTAGGCTTGAAATTAACCATCCCAGAGGTGGAAAGCAGGGACATGACTACCACCACAAAGAGATGGGAGCAGAGTGCATCCTTTGGACCCAGGGGCCCTACTCTGAGAACCTCTTTAGAGACAGAAGGCAGTAACACTGGAGAGACAGCAAGTGGTGGTGGTAGAGAACCAGAAGCAGCAGAACCAGAACACCAGCATGACAGTGTTGTGGCATCCTGGTCCGTGGAGCCGAGCACCTTCACGCAGGCAGCTGGTGGAGGGGGGTGCCTGTGGGGCAAGTTTGCCGACGGCAGAGCTGATTGTCTTCCAGCTGAGGCTTACTGGCAGAGTGAGGCGTCTCTGGGCACTTATTAGCAGAGCTAAAGGAGCTTTGCAACATTTGCCCAAGTATGGCAGAGGCCGAGGGGCTGCAGGGCCAAGAGCCAAAAAGAGGTGTGCCTTTAGGCAGGGCTGAGACTGTCCTGATCCAAGAACTCAGGATACAGTGTTACTGATCCTGAATTGTAACCTGTTACTTCCCTAATAAAACCCATAATTGTGAGTATTGTCTGTGAGTTCTGTGTGGCCACTGCAATGAATTATCAAACCCAGCAGACACATAGAGAGTGCCTTGGGAGGGACAGTTGGTGTCAGTATTAGTAAAAAGGTTGGAGAATGGAGGAATGTCTGACCTCAGCTTCACAGGACTCAGCCTTGGGCTGCTGATCTTTATGTTCCTCTAACCCTTGTGAAATTAAGAGTAGGTTAGAAGGTGCCACTGCCATTTTTGCAGAAGAAAAAGGAGGCTAAATGGAGCACAAATAAGGCTTCTGATAATTTTAAGTATAGCAAATCAAACAAGTTTGCAGACTACCACTATGTTAAAAATTAAGACTTATTATATTGTCTGTTGTTCAATTTACTGATTAAAAAGAACAAAATTTAATAACCAACATTTAAAATATTTGTCCTACAACAACCTGCAACTTTAAAGTATTATTAAAACAAAAATGTTACATTTTCCTGGCATAAGCTCCTAAAAAAAAATTACTGGTTACCAGGCAAAATAGACTCATCCTTTCCTACCTGTTCCTTTCTGAACATTTTTCTCTGCTTCCTCAAACAATCCAGGTAGATGTATTACCACACCATTTCCTAAAGGCAAACAAATAAATCTCAACCGTAGACATCTACAAACATAAATAACAACATTATAATACAGACATCTATTTTTATCATTGTTGGGGGCCATCAAGTCCATTTTGATTTATAGCAACTCCATGTGACAGAGCAGAATTGCCCCATAGGGCTTTCCAGGCTGTAATCTTTGCAGAAGCAGACTGTCAGGCCTTTTCTCCCACAGAGTAGTTGGGTGTGTTCTAATCACCAATTCTTCTTTTGGTTAGCAGCCAAGCACTTAGCCATTATGCCATCAGGGCTCCTTATATAATGATATTATAATACAGACATTAATAATAATGCTTTATCTAGAATAGTAGAGGAGATACTTAGACTAATGGGACATTCTGATTTATTGGGAGATAATCACAGAAATTATTATATGTTTTAAATAGTGGTACAATGTGAATACATAATATACATAGAATATAACACTAAAATTATACATAATTTAACATATGTTTAAATTAACTTATGTTTAAATAAACTAGTTTTGCAACTTTAGGTAAATCAAACCAGATTACAGTAGACTCTAGATCAATGTCTTTCAAATTGGAGAAAAACACCCAATTAGTGTTCATAAAATCAATTAGCATTTTTTAAAAATTAAAAAAGGAGAAAATAGCAAATTACATCACAGGTAGTAAGGGTTCTAAATCAACCTGTGAAACAGACCTATTGTAATTTTTACTGTGGGTCATAGTCAAAAATGAGAAGGAAGGTTGGGCAATCTGCTTCCATAATGATACTACCTTGGACACCCAAGGCAGGGTCCCTATGAGTCGGATCTGACTCTACAGCAATGAGCTTGGTTTTTTAGTTTTACAGCCAAAAGTGGCTGAAAACTCAATTCGATGATCTATAATACTTAATAAATTTAAGACTGCCAACAATCACTGATAAATGCAAAGTAGTTTTCCAAAAAATATTACCACGAAAAGGTCTCAAAGAGTTAAAAAGCCAAAATTAGGTATATTTTACAAGGCACCATGGCCAAAATTTAAAGGGATCAATGAACCATTTGGTAAGTGAGAAATGAAATCAGGTTTGATAATCAAAAAATGAACATTATGAATTTTGGAGAAAAAAAATCCCCAAGTAGTTCAGTTAACACTATATACTTACCAATGAATGCAGTAACATTTGGATTAATTATGCCACTGGGTAAAAGATGAAAATCATATTCTACAGAATCTACAACAACTGTATGGCCAGCATTATTTCCTCCCTGAAATGTAAGATAAGAGAAAACTGAGCCTGACAATAAATGACAAATAATATATCTATTTCCAAAGTGAATTAATAATTTATATTCTGTTAAAATGCCAATATCACTTAAGAAACCCAAGTATTTGTCACGTATACTGATTCTTTAGAGGCATCAGAACAGTTTGACGGTCCTTCCTCTATCCCCACTATAGTATGTTTGAGTGATGATCCTGAAACACTCTAGAAATTAGAGAATTCAGGTTTCAGGAAGATAGGAAGACATAGCCCTTCTTTTTAAAAGAGAAAAAAACGTGGAAAGAAAAAAGAAAGAAACCTATCGGTTTGCTGTTTTTGGCATTAGGTAGGGCATGTAGCAATCTAGTTAATTATTTGTAACAGTTATCTACATAAAAATATCTCTAAGATAATAGAAATTTGTACAATTACCCTAATTTAATGTACATATTCATATAATTTGCAGTGTCCTAACAGTGTGTCAAGCAACTCTGAAACTTGAAGTTTCTGTTACTACATGGACTGAACCAAAAATATAAGTAACCGCCCCCCACATATTGGCTCTCTTGGAACTCTAATTTATCAATTTATAAATCAGTCTTGTGAGTATGGTTAGTGACAGGTCCCTGGATCTTGCTCATCTCTAGCTAAAATAATATCCTTGGACAAGGATCTAAAGGTGAGAGAGTCATACTATAAACTCAGGATGAAACTTCTACTTTATGAAATTAGCACCTGAAAAGTCAAAAAAAAAAAGGAGGTCAACATGAAAAGTGAAATCATAAGAGGTACAAGAATACTAGGGATTAACATGTAATTTAAGTAAATAAAAACACATATTTATATATTATTTTATCCCATATATATAAATGGTAGCAAAATATACACACACACTTTGGCAGCTTGCTTTTTTCACTTAACAAATCTTAGTACTTATTCCATAATCCTCTTCATTGTTTTAGAAGCTGCACTGTATTCCTTCGTGTATGGGTGGACAATCATTTATTAAATTGGTCCCACAAGGACAGGCATTTAGGTTGTTTCCAATTGTTTGCCATCACAACATTCCAATAAACTTTCTGGTACATATTTTATTATTATTTTGCACATGTGCAAATTTACCACCAATTCTGATAGAATCCTAAAACATATACCAAAAAGGCATACTGACTTTAATTTAGTTTTCTTTAAAATAACTCAGATATCACTAAAGACAATCCTCACTTGCTTTTTATACTTTTTCTGCCTCCTTCACTGTAAGCTATTACTTCTTTAACTCTCATGACAATATTATTAGCCTTTTTTATCCCATGCTTTTATGATTAGGGAAATTCCTTCCAAACATTCAGAAATTAATGACAGCAATACCATGATGGAAGGATGGTATGTTAATTATTTTATTTTAGGCAGGTGGTTCTGATAGATGACTTCAGAAAGGATGAAGTGGTTTAATTCCTTAATGAGTTTTTCCTAGTTTCACTAGGATTTAGAACCCTTACTACATGTGATATTTTCCTAGTGGAAAAGTCTAGCTGCAAAAGTCTTGAAATCATACCTTAGTGTAAAGCTTACTCACTCAAACATTAAAACATTTTTCAATAACCAAGTCTTACTAAGAATTGCTAATGGTTCCACTTAAATAGTTTGAGCATGAAAATGTGGTTAAAGATATCCACAACAGCCCTGGGCTATCCTATTATGGACACAGGGAAGAAATTTTAAGTGTTTACTAGAACATTTAGTCACTAGTGCCCTAAGAGGGAATTGAGACTATAGTTCCTTTAAATCCAAACACATGCTGTGCAAGAGAGTCCTGATGTAAAATGAGGACCTACTACACAAATAGGATGTTATGATTAAATAATTCATATATGAAATAAGGTTTAGTATGTAGTACATAAACTGTGACAGTTACATAAATGATGGGATACATACACACATACACCTATTTAACAGAAACATACAATTCCCTTCTCACTACAAATTTTCCCAAGCTTGCTTTAAAAAAATAAAAGAACACACAAAACTCCCTATTATCATATACACATGTTAATAGTTCATCGTAACTGCCTCTTACTGCTCAGCGAAATTCCCATTACACATATGATCACTCAAGTGTTCAAGTGTTGTTGTTGTTCTTGTTATGTGCCGTCGAGTCGGACCTGACTCATAGCGACCCCTCCTTGGGTTTCCAAGGCAGCATCACTACGGAAGTAGATTGCCCCATCTTCCTTCCAAGGAAGGGCTGGTGGGTTTGAACCACCAACCTTCTGGTTAGCAGTCAGATGCCTTAGGCACTAAGCTACGAGAGCTCCTTTAAAAAATACTTTCAATTATCATAGCTGTATGACCCACCAGCTGCTCCATGGAAGGAAGACTGGGCAATCTATTTCCATAAAGTTTACAGCCTCGGAAACCCAATGGGGGTTGCTATGAGTGGGAAACAACTCCATGGCAGTGAGATGTTCTATACCAAACTAAAGCCGGTGCTGCTGAGTTGATTCTGACTCATAGCAACGCCTGAGAACAGCATTGAACTGCCCCACAGAGTTTCCAAGGCTGTAAATCTTTGTGGAAGCAGACTATCACATCTTTCTCCTTCAGAGAGGCTGGTAGGTTTGAACCACCGACCTTTTGGTTGGGGAGCTGAGTGCTTTAACCGCTGCTCCACAAGGGCTCCTTATGTGTCTTACAGAAATAGGATGTGCTCAATTAGTAACTGTTATGGAACAAAAAAGCTATAGAATAACAATCAATATTGTTTTCAGATTAATTATGCCAATATGGGAAATATTGTTCATTGATTCTCAGATATCTTAATTTATTTTCTTAATTTTGAAATATATCAAAAAACCCACCAAACAAATAATCCTATTTAAATTCTAATATTTTTTCCAGAAAAGCATTAGAAGTCTACAGTGTATTATTACACTGCTAGAAAACAACTTACAAATAAGTACAACCTAGAACTAATGTTTCTTCATTCTTTATATTCCCATGTGAAATCAACCAAAGGTCAGCTATACTATAGCTGACTAGTATGTTCAGCCCCTACTTTTCTCCCTTACTTTGCAAATCATAGTAATCATTCCTCTGGCCATCCAGAGAAGGAAATTTGATCCAGCTTAAACTAATTAAATTCTCTCTCCTGGGAACGTGATTTTGAGTAGAGAGGAAGGCAGGAGTGAGCAAGAGATGCTGTGATTTTATGGAACATCCTAATGAGAAAGCCTGCCGGTTCTTGCTGCTGAGATCCAAGAACTGCACCTAGATTTCAGTCCACCCTGAGGCTTGGCAGTCCTGTTCTGCCTTCAAATGTATTTCCCCTTTGCCTAAGACAGAATCTTTTTCTATTGCTTATAAAGACTCCAAATGATTCACAGAACAAACCCAATGCAACATAGCATGGCTACATCTTGCACTAATGATAAATGAATACAACAATGTTTGTTGTTGTTGTTGTTGTTTGCCATTGAGTCGGCCCCGACTCATAGCGACCCCTCCTTGGGATTCCGAGGCAGCATCACTACGGAAGTAGGAATACCCAACCTTCCTTCCAAGGAGTGGCTGGTGGGTTTGAACCGCCAGCCGTCTGGTTAGCAGGCAAGTGTCTTAGCACAACAATGATGATTAACTGCTAAATTTTAGTATCATTTATACTCTCAAGGGAAATACTCTAAAATACAATACCAGAGCAAACAGGGATGATGTAACAGTAATTTGTTATTTTGCAACTGTTCTTAAGAAGGTCAAAAAGACAAGTGTCTCATATTTTCTATCCTGGGTCCTTAGAACCCGAACCTGTCAAGCCTAACAACAGAACAAAAGATTGGATCAAGAAATGTTGGTATGTGAGCGGTTCTGGCAAGATGGCAAACTAGGCAGAAAGACTGCACAGACCCTCTTCAACAAAGAAAAGGGAAACCAATTAACACAGACACAGAAGATAATCTTGGACTGCTGAGCCTTGA